TAGATAGATAGATAGATAGATAGATAGATAGATAGATAGATAGATAGATAGTACTAATTTCTTGAGATAAATCTGAGATTGGCGGACCATCATTTGACAAATATAATGCTTTAAAATTCATGACAGAGGAGAACCCGATCCACAGCAATAGAAAACATTCCAGAAAAGTAAAGAAAATTGAAAAATATGATATACAGTGCATAAAATACGCTCGATTAAAAAATACTTTTGATTCAATCCAGTAAAACATTTCAAAATTACGGGCTATATTTTAATACAAGAAACATTGTTTTGACGGATTATTGAATTATACGCCATTAACGAGCCACTTGAACTGTTGCTATCTCATATGATAGGATTTTTAAAATTCTCTTCCCATCTGACTTTTTCTGTTGACAAAGTTTCATGAACAACAGAACTTAACTCGCCGGTCAACTCAACAAAACTATTTTTTCTCTTTTAGTTCTTTATACCCTTCCACCTTGCAACAAATTCATGCGCAATCCTTTCGTGGCACTAAAGAATTCCGACTATTCGTGACATCCTGTTTCCACGCTAAATACACTCCTCCATTTTTTCCCCTTTACTGTTCAGTTCTATTTTAGAAAAAAAAAAAGAGAAAGGAAGGCCGGTCGTTTCAGACTCTACCAAAAGTTTCCTGTTTGCTTCCTCGACAATTTACGTAAGCATTAAGTTGCCAGGTGACTATAACACAGAAAAAAAGTGCTATAAATAAAATAGTATACTTTTACAATACCAACGTCATTTCTTCGAGTAGAAATATAATAAATACATGTCAGTGATACTTTAAGTTAAAGGTGGTTACTACGTTTTATATCTGTAGGCAAACGCATATATATTGGCCCAGTGCCATATATTCTGTGTTGCTGCGTGTTTAAAAATAGAGAAAGAGAAAAATAAAAACACTTAGTGTGATGATTATTAGAAATTTAGTCTGTGGGACTATAAGCTAAAATTTTTCGGTTCACACACACACACACACACACACACACACATATATATATATATATATATATATATATATATATATATATATATATATATATATATATATATATACACCCAAGTGTCGTGTCTAGAGTAATTTAACGGAGTCTGGTACAAGACAGTATTAATGGTGATACGTAAGGTAAAAGTGATATGTATGTCTGTCAAATGTAAATCAATATCGTCCAACATAATTAATATAGCTCTCACGCTGCCTCCGTCTGGAGCAGAACCGGAGCATACAACCACCGAACATCTTGACCGGTAGTGGGGGAAGCAAACCAGATTGGGGGCCCGAGCAGTGCTTTGTAGCCCACGCTGTCTTATCAACATGTTCATTTTTCTACATACATTTATATGCGTTACAAATTAAACTAAGCAAAAATATTAAAGAATGAAAAAATTTTCGCAGATTTTGACGTCTTTCTGTTTTTGATTTTTTTCTTTTTTTTTTTTTTTCAAATACGTGAATTTGTTTTGTTCATGTGACCTCTCGAAAAAACACTATATAAAATTCACTCTTTTTTATCCATAATGTTGAATGTGTTAAAATTATTCAACTTTTTAAAAGGAATAATCTCAAGTTGATGTTAAAAATTGCCACAAATCATTGTTGATCTATTTAAGATTGAATGTCTAATTTGTATTTTGATACATTTTCAAGTTTTCTAGTTGAATTGTTCACCTATATTGCATATGATCCATTATTGTACATAATTATGTTACAATAAAATTTGTATTTTATAAGAATACTACCTTATAAAAACTGAAATGTAGTAGAATGGTGAGACCCGTATCATATATTCGGGAGGTTCGAGACCTTTGCACGGGCTCTGGTTGTAAGAACCTTGACGTAAATTTACTAGCGACTAAAACACTTTCTAAACATTTTCGTTTTAGTAAATTGCTTTCTCTTTTAATTCGAGTAGCATTTTTAAAACCAAAATTATAGCCAGTCTCATTACGGTGTGCAACTAATGTACTTACTTACACGTGTTATTTTGTACAATATCCCTTTTGTGTTCATATAATCTTTTATTTAAATTCTTTGGGGTTTCTCCTATATATTTCTTGTGGCAGTTATTACAGGTGAATCCCTGCTATAGATTTTAGCTTATGAAAATTGAGCTGTAGTAGAATGGGGACCCCATATCATTGGGGGCTGTATCATAGATATGGTGGAGGGTAGAAACCCTTGCACCGGCCCTGGTGTGGAATAACGGTTGTCGAGCTATTCCGACTGATCATAAATATTCTGTAGTGACTTCGATCCTCACAGGGTACCCTATACATGTGAGCTTCTGCTAAATTTAGTATATAACAAGTGTAGAAAAAATTTAGTCTAACACAAAGCTGTATTCATGAAGAACTTGCTGAGAGTCGATTTCATTATACCAGCGAATGGTCTGTGAGGCTGACTTTATAATCATTGCTTGGCACGCTGTAAATGAGCTTAATTTTCATTTGGTGCCGGATTAGAGGGAGAGATAAAAATAGACCCAAATCTTCGGCTTTTTCTCAGAATTCATGGTGACCGTCATGTAGAAAATCCCTTCCCTCGTCGACCCTAAAAAAATCTATGGAAATAATCGAAAACTGTTTACAGAAATTTCAAATAACTAAAATTCTTATGTTAATGTTCGCTTCTTCTTGTTAGTGTTGTTATTTTTTATAGCTTTTTTAATCATTTCCCCCAAAGAAAGGCAATAAAGCCACTAAGACAAAAAATGTTACTGATTTCTAGAGAATATGAGAGAGGACAATAAAAGAATAAGAAAACAGAATATAACGATTGACATTGCATTTAAACTTTTGAAGATCAAAGTTTACGAGGAAGCAAGAAGCCGAAAAAGATTTCCACGGGCGAGAAGTGCGAGCGAAGAAACTGTTAGCATAGAACTTACGGTTACATCTAGCTATTTCAACTGTAAAATGATGAGACTTTGTCACCAATCTAGTAGTACGCTTAAATTCTTAAAATCTAGGTAGCTTAGAGGAAGGTTCATCAAAACAATTTCCAGGAAAAGGAACGGGTAAGCTAGATTACGGCGGTGCAAAAGTGACTGAATCCGAGATGCCAGGTCAGGATCAATAACATTGCAGATTCTTCTTTGAATTTTATCAAGAATCTCTAAATATATAGCAGGAGCACCAGACCAGATGTGGTAACAATATTCAGAGTATGGGCGAATAAATAAGCATGTTGTCCTTTGACCAGCCGATCAAGAATCAGTTTCTGTTAACTGATCGTTTATCTCTACTCAGACGCCCTTTCGAACGCTTAAACGGCTTTTGTCTGAAACCTGCCCATGCATTATTAGACAAAGTAAAACTATTCTACCTGCTTGTAATACCTGTAACAAGCATACACCTGGACCTCCTTCATAGCTTAGACACACACACACATGCACGCGCGCCTGCGTACACACGTGCGTCTGTGTGCGAAAATTCGAAAATAAATAAAATATATCTATAAGTAGAGAATATGAAGAAAGACAAAAGGAAAACTATTCTTTACCAACACATTTCGTCCTCCTTATCATGGCAAATGTAAGGATTTTATTTTGCAACATTTTTCAAAATTTTTAAATTTAAGAACGCTCAAAAATATTCTTAAGGCTAACTGTGAAAGTCAATGTAAACTATGGTGGATATTAAGTGATGTAATTTAAGGTCTAACATACGAAAATGAGTAAATGTCTTTATTGGTGTTGATTTTTCATTTTCTTATTTTATACATATATATATATATATATATATATATATATATATATATATATATAAAAGAAAGAACAGTAAGATATATAATCCGGTGTTCTTAAAATGCCGTAAGAATCTTTGCCGTTAACAATAAATTTTTTTTAAAATCCAGACGAGATTCATTTAACGGATGACCGATTTCATTGAAGAATACATCCCTACCCCTACCAAAACTGATACATCAAAATACAGCGATAATGAACACGCAAACACCCCTCGTCTGGTTGAAATGAATTTCCCTGCATCCTTGGAAACGTGAATTATGATTTTTGCTGTCTTTAAAACCCAGTAATTTTATAAGTTACTTCAAAACTCGCTTGAGGATGAAATGTTACTAACGTCTTTAATTTAATTACAAAATTAAATTTGGACCTTCCATTTTTGAAACATGGTTAGAACTGTGTAGCGGAAAAACCATATTTTGAATCAAGTAATTTAATTATATATATATATATATATATATATATTTGCCAATTTATTTATAATTTATTATTTTATTTTAATTTGTTAAATTATTTATGCATTTATTTATTTTAAATCATGGGTTTAATTTAAGCGTTTACTTTAATTTTCTTTACATTTATTGTCATATATGTTGGCTTGAGGAAAGATTATTTCTTTTATGAAAGAAAATATTTGAAAAAATCCGGGACGCAGGTTAATATTTTGCCAAGACTCGATAGCGGCACTCTCAAGAGCTTTCCGTCTAAGTAAGTTATTTTCTCTTTTAATAAGTGTCGCATATGATCGACGATAAATTATATATAATATCCTTTTTGTGTTTACAGATACGTTGTTTGTTTTTGCTTTTTTTTCATTTCTGCAAGTTTCCCCGATATATTGTAAGGAACAGTTGTGGCAGCTTATTTTATTTGTTTCGGAATTATTAGTGTCATGGATATTTTGGGTTTTGATCATATCCATAATGCTTTTGGATGTGCCTGTAATTATTTTGATATAGTTAACATTAGATAAATTGTTTTAGTTTTTGTGATTGATTCATTTTCTACGGCTTATCAACGCTTTGAATGTTATTTAAAGCCAGAAATTTTTTTAGGTGGGGTTGAGATAATCATGATTTAGTGATACAAGTCTTACTAATTAACCTATAGTTGGGGGAAGAGGTGAATTCATACATTTTCCAAGGGTATTTGTACGTAAGTGAATATAATGAGCCTAATGAAACGGGAATTTGAACTCAATTCTCAATTCTGAGCCATTATCCAAATTTACATCTGGTATTCCCAAGCTGTCATCCATCTAGATACTGACCAGGGTCAACGTTGCTTAACTTCGGTGATCGTACGGGAACCAATGTTTCAAGATAATGTGGCCATAAACCAAAACTGATTTGGATAGTAAATGATAAGGAGTTAGTAGGCAACATTATATATCAGTTTATATCTAGTTTATAGTCATTGTTGTTGTTATTAATGTCATCATCTTTTTTGGACTTGTAGTTTTTGTATGCCTTTCTCGTTGTAGATTAAATAGTAAGGTCCTTAGGGTTTTTTTTTAGGCATATACTATTGCTTACTATCTCCTTGACATGTGTCCGGATGTGACCTCCCACAGATCCAACGGCAATGAAGGCAGTGTCAACAAGTGCCGTTGAATGCATCAGAACATTGACGTGACACGTAGAATTCCTAGTCATTTTATGCAGCGTGGAAATATCCGGTTGTAACTATCCCTTGTGCCACCGGATAAAGACTGCTCAGTCCGAGAGTGTGGTATTACCCCAGTGAAACAATGTTTCTACTATAATTTCTTCACGCATTTTTAAAAAGACAAAAAATCTGATGAATTGTAAAGACAAAATCTTCTTGGACCGGAAGGAAAAATATATATATATATATATATATATATATATATATATATATATATATATATATATATATATATATATATATATATATAAATATATATATATATATATATATATATATATATATATATATATATATATATATATATATATATATATATATATATATATATATATATATATATATATATATATATATATATATATATATATATATATATATATATATATATATATATATATATATATATATATATATATATATATATATATATATATATATATATATATATATATATATATATATATATATATATTATATATATATATATATATATATATATATATATATATATATATATATATATCATATATATATATATATATATATATATATATATATATATATATCAGAGTGGCCTGAAGATTGCGTCAGACTGTCGCCTCTAAGTGTTGACTTCTATGTTCACTTTTATATTTACACACGCTCTATCTCTTATATTGAGCACTTTATCCCATAAATATAGCACACCTTAAGACTATATATATATATATATATATATATATATATATATATATATATATATATATATATATATGCTCGGACTATCATCCTCATCTTTTTTGCCATATTTATCACGTTTCGGCCGTTGTACGCTCCGGCCCTCTTTAGGTGGTTGGAATGTCGAACTGAACCCTTTATTTCTCTCGCTGGGGTAGACTGTTCTAGTTCCACATGCCATGTCTAATGGATGTCAGTTATCAGTTATTCCCCTCTCCAAGTTCTCTACCGCCTTAACCAGGTATTGAACTCACACTCTTTGGGTCCTGTCACTGGATCTAACTAACGTTTTTATCCACTGTGCCATGTGTCCTCAAGGACACATGGCACTGGACAAACGAAAATCTTAGTAAGAAAAATGTGCCTCTTAGCAGGAATCCTACCTGCATTCTAGTTAACATGGAAAAACTAACTTTAAGCGTGACTGAGCGGTTAAAAGTACATCTAGCTTGTCTAGGTGTTTTTCTTATATTAATGGGAACGCAACTACTCATTGATGTACAGTTTATTTACTTTGCTTAGTTTGGTAATATTTGTTTTTCTCTTAACCTATTAACAACGACTGATGTGAATCAGTCATTGCATTTCTATAGCTCAACCGCTAATGACGGAAACACATATGACAAAGACGTATAACAAAAATGTCCGTTTTATTGTGATTGATGAAAGTTGAAAGTTCTATTTGTTAGTCATGACAACAAAAATAGACAATTTTTTCCACCAGCAACTAAATGCCCACAAGGTATTTATTTCGAGAGAAAAATTACAAATATTTTCTCATCAGACATGAAAAAGCCAGGTTCTCTCACGCCCTCTCACGGATAAAATCCACGTTGGAAGAAGGTCCCCATAGACACACCCCTTTCATGATAGCATTAATTATCCAGACGTGAAGAAAAATTAAAGATTTAGTCTCATATTTTTATTTGTCTTTACAACGATCACGTTATACGTTTTTATTGTATAAATTACTAGCAGTAGAGCCCGGCGTTGCCCGGGGATGTAACAGTAAGAGATAGATCAAGTATCGACCATCATAAGGACTGAAAAATAAAATTGACAAAGATTATTGTTTAAGGTTGACAGACACGCATGTCTTAATTAGTTTTTTTTTTGTTTTGTTTTGTTTTTTTTTTACGAATTGGTCAAACTCAAACTCAAACAAAAACATTGTTTTCAATCGTTATGAGTCTACCGATTGAATAGAATTTTATTATAAACAATTGTCTTGTAAATGGAATTATTAAAGCATTCTGAATGTAAAAACAAAGAAAAAAGTGTGCAAGACAATAAGAAACACTACCTGCCAAAAAAAAGTGAAGTTTTGTTGAAATCGGTTGAAAAATGTAGGAAATCCGATCCAATATATAAACGAACAGACACACACACACACACACACACACAACCTGGGTTTTATAATAAGTACGATTATTATTATTTCCTTTGATTTCTGTTGTATACACATTTCCTTCCGAGTCCCAACCAGAGACCTAAGGTCAGATATGGATTCATGACATCTTCCACTGATCTTTTTTAAAAAAAAAAAAAACTAAAATTACACACATATTTTACATAGATAAAGCCCTTCGTAATATGTGAGCTGTACTTTTGAGTACAAATTTTTGTATTTCTTTAAGGCATGGGCTACCAGGAATACTTTCAATGAGTCTATGCTAATCTTTTCCAATTAATCCGAGTGCTCCAACGTCAAGTGGAATTACTGATGTCCTCGTGTGCCACATTTTTTTTGGATTTATGCTTCAAGATCCTTGTATTTTGATAGTGTTTTGAAGATCTTCAAAGATACATTACAATCTGCAGGGACTGACATGTCAATAAGAAAGCACATTCTGTTCTTGTGGTCTTTGATCAAGATATCTGGGCGATTAGCTGTGATTGTTCTGTCTGTGTGTATTGTAAAGTAACATAAAATTGTTATAGCTCTGTAATAGGATCTAGGTAATGTTCATACCAGTTTCTTGCGGTTTACTTCTCGTAAAAGTTGCATATTTTCCAGTGCAGATATTGGCCTACTATATCATACCGAGTTTTATATTCAGTGCAAACTAACAAACATGATAAAAGATAGCCAATTGTTTCTTGATATTTATCACAGATTCTGTATTTCAGGTTAACGTAAATTTTTAATATGTGTGCTTGGTAATGTTGTGTACGCATACATTTTTGCACAAGTAGACTATATTCCAGAACCTTCCTTCCGAAGAAACTTTTCCCGCTTTAGCCATTTTGATTTTCGTTTTGGCGCGGAACATTAACATTCTACTAGTCACTACATTATACAATCTGCCTACTGGCTAAGAACAGTCCTTACTTTTTCTGATAGTCTCCACTGTTGAGACAAGATAATTTGTTATTCAAATAAAGTTTTATATTTGTTTTCCACCAGACTCGTTTTCGTCGTCTCCTCCTGGCTATCTATATTTTTGCCTTTTGCTGAACGTGTTGAATACAGTCATTTTTATTCTATCCTTTTTTTTTTACTTTGCTAGTGGATTCGGTAGTCGTGAGTAGTGTCTGGCACAAGGCCACCTTTTCGTAGGCCAGCACTGCATGCTACCTGGGTCCTCTACAGTAATTTCTAGTTAGAAAAGCATTGGTTCTGTGCAGAAATAATAAAACTTTTGGTTTCAGCTGCTTAAGCCTACATTACGTAACCACTGATGGGTACAGGGTTTGTCTACATCAACTTGTTTGATATGGACAGCGTATTGGCTTATGAAGAGACTTATCTTGACATCGTTTCTTCACTTGGTACGTTGCATTTGCTTTTGCTTTCATTTTTAGGTTCTTTACCGCTGCAGTCGGTGTATTATAGTTTATTTGCAATTCTTCATCCACTTGAAATTCCCTTTTGAATGTGTTGGCTTCCTTTATTATTGAATAAGTTATTTTTTTTATTTATTTCATCTTCTTTGACACAGATCATCATCCAGTCTTCTATAATTTCTGGCTATCTTTGAAGACCGATTGTTGTGGTTTTGTAAAAAAAAACTAGCTGAACTAATCGTCTGTCGCCTTCTTATTCTTATTCTTACTATTATCATCCTTTGTGTATGTTATGCTTCCGGCTATGTATTCTGTAGAACAGGGACCAAATTAAGGTCCTTAGGCCCTATAGGAGAATTGTCATTTAATTGATAGCACTTTTCTTAGTATATGGGATGTTCCTAGTAGGGCGATCTTCTGGGCAACTTGTATGTTGATGTTACTTGGGACAAAAATTATCCATCCCTTTTCTCAGGAGGCCCAGAGCTCCGATTACTATTGGTACAGTCTCAGTTTTCATTACCCACATCCTGTTAATCTCGATCTCCAGGTCCTTGTATTTGGACAATTTCTCAATAATTTTTATGGCGGTCTTTCTCTCGGATGCCACTGCTATGTCAATAGGCATACACTTCCTGAACTTCTTGTCTTTTATGCTAATATCAAGTCTGTTGGTTTTTATTTCCTTTTTAGTTTGAATTGGTATGTCCCAAAGGATAGTTACATCGTTATTTTGGGTAACTGTGTCTGGTTGGTGCTTATACCATCTCTTAGTGGTTTCGTTTTTGTGCTTCTTGCATATCTTCCAGTGCACATATGTCACTACCTTGTTATGTCTGTGGGTATATTCATTTTTTGCTAGTTCCGGACACCCTGAGATAAGATGGCCGACAGTTTCATCATATTTTCCTTAGATCCTGTATTTTGGGTTTGTTCCGTCCTTGATTATGTGACAGTGATAGAATCTGGTTGTGAGACTTTGGTCCTGAGCTGCAATAATTAGGCTGTCTGTCTCAGCTTTCAACTCGGTGTTCCTCAGCCACTGATGGGTTTTCTATTGGTCTACATCTGCTTCTTTCGTTCTTTTTAGTTTTTAGATTTTTTGTTTGTTTTTTTTTGGGGGGGGTATTTCATTTGGTCAAGTTGTTTTGCTTTGTATT